AACCCTAACCCTAACCCTAAACCCCCTAAACCCTAAACCCTAACCCTAAACCCTAAAACCCTAAACCCTAAACCCTAAACCCTAAACCCTAAACCCTAAACCCTAGGGTCCTAGGACTTCTTTATTCCTATATCTATAGTCTCTAATCCTAGTAGGTCTTATAACTACTAACTAAGGTCCTCCCTAACCGTAAGTCCTACTAGGTCCTAGATTAGTATCTAGGGTATATACTATATCTACCCTTAACTTTCTACTATATCTTAATCGATTTCTAGATAATCGAGTTCTAGCTTATCGGCTAATCCTTTAATATATAGATTACCCGCCGTTATCTCTTCTAGGCTTAGGCCTTTATACCTAGCTATAAGATCTTCTAAGAGTTCGTCTCTTAGGTCTATAGCGACTCGCCTTTTCTATTTAAGGCTATCGATAAAGGTCCCGATCTACCCTCCTAAGTCGCCCTATTACTCTTTAGGGTATATTTCCTTTTAGTATTCCTAATTAACGCTTATTCTTTCGGCGCTAGTACCTATACTAGTAGTAGCTTCTCCCTTTTAGATCGCTTATAGTACTTCGCGTATCGCCTATATATATTACCGTTTCTTATATAGTTTCTTCTATTTATATTCTTTCGCGCGGTATCCTAGTTTCCTATAGGTAAAGTAAAGATTCTTCTATCGACGCTTATCTTATTCTTTATATATCGCGTTAAGATCTATCGGTATTAGGCTATATAGGTCTATATATCTCGCCGGTCGTAACGTAGACTACCTAGGTCGCCTATTATTCTAGCGATACTAAATAGGTAGTCGTTATCCGCCCGTTCTCTACTATCTTATTTCGCGATATTATATCTCGCGATCGTAGATTCGATTATCGATTTTAACTACGATACCGATAATCTTATCTAGTATATCTAGTCGATTATTATATACTAGTTTATCTTTAATATATTCTTTTAGTCCGTTTTCGAAGACTAAAACGAAGTAGTCCTTATCCTAGCTTAAGTATAAGATAATTTATTAAAATTTAGCGGTATATATACTAACTAAGGTAATCTATTATAGGCGTCGAAGGGGTCGTTTAGCCGTTCGTTTCGTATCGATATTACTAAATATAAGTTTAATTTATTTTTTAAACTTATCGTAGCTATTAAATACTTCCTAGGTAAAGTCGCTCTAGACTTCTTAGTTAGTTTCTTTTTAAAACTTATATAGGAATAGTTCGAACTAATCGAAGGCTAGTCCTTAAAGGAAGGTCGATATATAGATAACCTTATCGGCTTCTATAGGTAGCTTAGATCGGTTAACCTATTAGTTCGTATCTAGTTAAGTAAGGAACGATCGAAGCTTAGATTATATTCTATTAAAGAACTTAGGTTATAGAATCTTAACTATAGAGACCGGACGTTAGTTCTCTAAGATTAAGATTTACTCCTATAGTTACTAGATTATCTTAGCTATCTACTAAGGGCTAGGCGCGTTACTTCGTATAGAAGTACCGTTACTAGTAGTCGATTCGTTAACTATATTGTCTTATCGTAACTCGAAACTTAATTCGAGACGGTCTTTAATATATTACGTACTAGCTAACTAGTTATAGTTAGGTTAGATAGGTTTAGGGTATACTTGCCTTAATACTCCTCGAATAGTCTAACGTTAATAATCTAGTCTTAACTAAGCTAATACCGCGTAGGGCCTTATAGTAGCCTAAGTCCTTTTAAGCGATTAAGGAACCGATACTAGGTAGAGCGCCGAGTAGATCTATACCGGGGTATTAGTCTACTCGTAAGTGTTATTAGGTTATAATTAAGTAAAGAGTTATAGTAATCTAAAAGGTAAATATAAGTAACAATATATAATTGAAGACGAAGAACTAAACTAGATATACGAATGAGTATCCTTATATATCCCTAAGTTCTTCCTATATAGAATAGTAGATAGTAGAATAGTAGAACCGTTCTACTATCCTACTATCGACCGTTCTACTATCCTACTGTCGACCGTTCTACTACCTATATAGTCACGTGCCTCTTCGGTATGATATAGTGGTTATCTGGTACGTAGAGTAACCTATATAACGGAAATCCTCTGCGGGGTGGGTCCGCTCAGGGCGGATCATGCTCTTGCTTAGTGAGCTTGCACGTGACCTGCTGACAGGTATTCTGGTTAGCTCTCGATGGCCCATTGGTGTGCCTGGTGGGTCACCACTGATTGGTGACGGACAGGTCCGTAATAGTAGATAGGAATTAGGTTTAAGAATATAATATAAGTTTTTATAATAATATACTACTAAAAATTAATATTAAAGAACTTCGTACGTATAATTAGGATACTTAAAAATATAGGGCAAATCTATATAAATTATATATATTACGAGATTTACCTATTTGTCTTGTTTAACGACCCTTAGGGTCACCCGCGGGTGACCCTCCGAGGGTCCAACCTCTAGGTAGACTACCCTTAGGGTCGGAAGGTTAGACCCTCGAACCGCCCTAGTGGCGGGGCGGTTCGAGGGTCGTGAGGGTCACCCGCGGGTCACTGCTAGGTCTAATTTGGAGCATCTCTCAGAGATGATGCCGTATTGCCAGGGCTGGTATACACCTTACCAGTTTAATTACATGAGGTTTATGGCCGGCAGAATGTTATGTAATAAGGAGGTATGGGGCGGGGAGCAATTACTTATGTCCAGTCACTGTACATTGTTCGTACACTAGCTTTCCGTCAACCCGCAAGTGGAATGTTTTGTAAAATTGACTCCTTGTAGTATTTGTCAGCAGCCGTGATGAGTCTAGACCCACGAGTTTTACCACCTGATTTTCACAAATCCGCCAACCTTCCTTTATGTAGCTACTTGTTTCATTAAACATCCCACTTCGAAATAGGTGTTAAAAAGATGCAGAAACCCACTTCCGATAGGGGAAAGCCTATGTCCTCACGTGACACGACCCTTCCTGAGTTAGCATACGAGGACGACTGGCGCCACGTCACAAATCCTGTCGAACGACGGCGGCGGCAAAACAGATTAAACCAGAGGATGTACAGTAAGTAGTCCGTAAATAGAAGACCTGCACGATTTCTCTCACTGAACCATGCAAAGGAAGTCGCAGACACGATGAGGCCCAAGCACTAAACGGGATATCGCGACTCCCCGAGGCCAACATATGCCATTCCCCACTGCAAGCGGAACGGCACATCCTGGAAGGTTTCGCATCAGCCGCTTACCGAAGCTACATGTTGGGTTGTCCCAACATTGACCACTTACTAGTCCTCACGAAAGCTAACGTCTACCGCGCCTTTCTACACAATATCAGCTTATTAGGACTGGTAGCGGACGGCCTTTGCGAGGCAGACGTCCTATCCCCCTTTAATCAGTTCGGTCCGGCGCAGATCACCACGACAACACTCCCGCTATCTTTACGTCCTACGCCTACCCAGCGCTCCTTGCCACATCATCCGTGGCTTGACTTTTTTCCGCATCCCAAGGCTCGGGATAATCTCTTCCGCGCGCAGGACCGCTACGACGAAGACGAATTCTGCTTAGATATACTGGGTTTTTGGAATCCAAATGCGTTGGATAATATGTTGTTGGTATGGGGCGAGCCATCGGATCCTGAAAACTGGGAGATAACGGAGGGCTTCATCAAAAAGTGGGGTTGGGTGATTCAGGGGTGTCCAGAAATCTTGTTTAATACTAACAAATGGCGAGCACGGAGAGGCGAAAATCCAATCCTTCGCTATCTCTCATAATATCTCAGATGTTGGCACCAATGCGTAGTTCTGTGTGTCCATATACTTGGATGTGCGGTTCTGATGTCCAACATTATTTTCATGTAATTGTGCCACCGAGCTCGTCAAGGTGGGTGGGAATAATGTACGTGTTTCAGGGGCTGGTCAGTGATGCCCTCCCCGTCACGACCCTCAATTTGTACTAATTTTATCACAGGCCGAAAGCATCATCCCACCTAGGGCAGACAGAATAAGCCTGTGCAAACTCGGGGGTTCCAAGGCTCTACCCCCTGTTTGAATACGGCATTTCGACAGTAGGGTTTCCCAGGTGGAAACTGGTCTGGCCTCAGGCTTTTTAAATGTCGCGATCCCATTTAGCCTTATGGCTGATACAGTTAAGCAAAGGTTACCTTGTTTTGATCCGCAAAATCTGGGTGGTGAAGGAGGAAAATTACCTCTGTGGCAAGCAGTTTTAACTATGTTTGAGCGTAGGGCTGATATGGAGACAACTTTACTGCCAACCGTTTTAAACAATAATAAATTGAGAAATTTGATCGCTTTTCCAATTCGCGCAAGGTTTGGATTAAGGCAATGTTGTCACGAAAGGAGAAATGGTCACCTCATCTCCTCTTGATAAGTTATAATCTAATTAGCACCCAACATCTGAAGATAACTAGCCCTTGATCGGAAATGGTTTACCGAAATGAACCTGAATGAGATTATTAAATAATAAAATCAATAGGAAAATGGATTAGCATCCAGTATCAAGCGAATAGGAACGGTCAGACTCGTCAATACCGACTTGGCAAAGCAGTACGCAATATGCAGCAGGAGAAGCCGCATGGCTTTTGCGCATGGCCACCGAGCTCACCAAGGCCAAAAAGGGTAAAAACCAGCATGCTATAATGCAACTCCGGATATGTGGGATTTTATAACGTTGGTAGGCTAGTCTAATCTATCGTGATTGGCTATGAGTGAGGCGAAAATGGTCATCAGGCATCATGTTTTTATGCGACGAGGGGTTAAATACCTCCCCCGGAGATAAGGTTCGCTATGCTGACAGTAAGGTTCTATGGTCTCCTGCGTGGATATCCTTGGCTTTCTCGGCGGCTCTTGGTGAGTTCGATAATGTCCATCCCCATTCTATTTACAATTATCTTCAAACCAAATCAAGTCAAGCAAGATCAGACGACGCGTGGCCTTAGCTCCAATGAGGCAATGTACTCCAAACTAACTGACCTCAACAGCAGGTACTGTCGGTTTCGATGACACAGGGGATGCTATTGCCAAGTTCTGTTACCCATCTCATCAACTATAAGAATAAGGACATGCCGCCTGAGATAGATAAATAACATTTCCAAACAGCCATCTTTACCTCTGTGTACCGGCGTGATCAGCAACCGACAGCAGCATCATGAAGATTGTGGGAGGAAGCATCGCCGCGCTCGGCATGATGACGATCGCTGATACGATGACAGCAATGGCACAGAATATGTCGTTCGGAGCCGACAATTTCTATCGCAGTGACAACGTGACGGTTCAGGCGATTACCTTTCAGGACCAATATCGGACGACTATCGCTGGGAACCTCTTCATTCGCAGTAACTTCAATCGCAGCATTGATATGCCAGCCATCATCGTCGGTCACCCCATGGGTGCTGTGAAGGAGCAAAGCGCAAATCTCTACGCCACGAAGTTGGCCGAACACGGCTTTGTCACTGTCTCACTCGACCTACCGTTCTGGGGCGCCAGCGAGGGTAACCCGCACAACACAGTGTCGCCTGAACTTTACGCAGAGGCATACAGCGCGGCAGTCGACTACCTTGGCACACAAAAAATCGTCGATCGCGAGCGTATTGGCATCCTCGGCATCTGTGGCAGTGGATCCTTCGTGATCAGCGCAGCGAAGGTTGATTCGCGCCTGAAGGCGATTGCAACGACAAGCATGTACAACCACGGTATTCTTACACGCAATGGACTGCGGGGTTCGCAAAGCATCGAGCAGCGCAAGGAGCTCGTCGCCGCAGCGTCCCAACAGCGCTGGACTGAGGTGGATGGGGGCAAAGCCCTGTATACAGCCGGCGCCCCCGATGAGATCACGGCGCAGTCAACATCAATTGATCGTGAGTTTTACGACTTCTACCGCACTTCGCGTGGCGAGTTCACGCCTAAGGGCTGGTCCCCAAAGCTCACGACGCACCCGACGCTCTCGAGTAACACGAAGTTTATGAACTTCTACCCATTCAACGATATAGAAACAATCTCGCCGCGGCCAATGCTGTTCATCTCAGGCGACCAGGCACACTCACGCGAATTCAGCGAGGATGCTTATGCGCATGCAGCTGAACCGAAGGAGCTATTCTGGGTAGCAGGTGCCGGTCATGTTGACCTTTACGATCGCATGGATCTCATCCCATTCGAAAAGCTTACCCAGTTCTTCCAGACAAATCTCGCATAGAAGTGAGCTAGAATAGACAGGAAGGGAGAGTCCGTCTAGGATCTACTTCTTGGATATCGGGGTCCCAACCTGACTGCTGCCCGGGCTTCGCACCGTGAAGTTTTCAGGACTCATGCATGGTTATCTAATCATGCATCTCTCTTGCAAACCCAGCTAGACACGCCTGTATTTAATACCTGAGCTGGGCCTCCACATGGAAGGTCAGCGATTAGTTCTCTTTTTATACAGCCTGCATTCTACGTCCTACGATAAGGAACTCGTAGAGTCCTCACATTATCTAGGGTTTTTTTGTTACATTTTGGCTATTTGAATAACAGATCTGTGAAAGGAGCGGAATACGCGGTTTGAATTGCTGGTCGAACTATATATATACATTTACCCACTATTGCCAAAGCATACGCAAAATTGGTGAGGCAATTAAACCAGCCCGGATTTCCTAAGTCCAACCCTTCGCGATAGCGTAATATCCCGAAGGTATGCCCAAGGTAGCAAGCTGGAGTTGCCAGCGAGCATTAGTGTTTTGTTTTGGGTGCTTGCCTAGATCATTTGTAATCCAGCAAGTTCCGCTGTTCTTGTTGGCCCGCTTGAAAAGCCTCGAGAAATATAATCCTCAGTGTACGTAAGATGCCAATTTGAGTGGTGCAGCAAATCAATTATAAGGGAAATCCTTTTCGTTCTAGCAAGAAGTTGAAATAGCTTGTTCTTCCAGAACCGGAGAAGGTATAAGAGAAGATATCCTATTTTGGGATATAATTCATATCCTATTCACCTCACTATAGTAAATTGCCTTACGCAGCGAGTCAAGTTTCATATAAATTGACGCTTCAAAGGGCTCTGTGTCGTGGGAGTATTTCGGACCGTAGAGCTAAGTGGTTCGATGGCAACCTCAAAATTGAAACCCGGTGTGCTGTACGAAAAGAAAAATCTGACTTTTTTCCAAAATAAAGATTTATTTCAATTAAAAAATGTTTATTTGTGTCGATAACCATACGATGCTTAAAGGCTCTCTGGAATGATGACGTCTTTTGGCTTGTACGGTTCCTCGAGATAGTACTCCTCCTCGTCAGTCAAGGACTTGCCCCGCACCGCAATTGCTTGCTCCAGCCTTTCGATGCTACTAAAGCCGATAATGGGGCTTGAGATGCGCTTATTAATCCACGCAAGCGCGACGTGCGACATTGGCCAACCACGCTTTCCAGCGACCCCGATGACCCGCTTAATGATCACCAAATCTGTCTCTCCCACCCCAGAGTCACTTTGCTTCTCCTGCTTGCTTCTGGGCGTTGACCCAAATTCGGATGGCGCTCTCGCCAAATGACCACGGCTAAGAGGTGCCCAGGGTACCAAACCAACACCGGTGTCATTGCAAAACCGGTTCAATTCTCGCTCGTCTTCACGGTAAAGTAGGTTGTATTGGCTCTGCATGCTGATAAACTTTGTCCAGCCGTTTTTTTCAGCGCAGAACTGCATACGAGCAAATTGCGTTGCCCACATACTGCTCGCACCGATGTAGCGAACTTTGCCCGATTGAACAAGATCGTGAAGCGCTTTCATAGTTTCTTCCAATGGAGTTGTTGAGTCGAAGCGGTGAATCTGCAAGAGGTCGATATATGTCGTGTCCAGTCGCTTAAGGGAGGCCTCAACTTGATTGAAGATCGCTGTGCGAGACAAACCATATTGGTTTTGGTAGTCTTTGGATGCCTCAAATAGGTCTCTTTGAAGCCAGTGCAGAGTTTCTAATGGATCTGTTAGCTACTTCTACACCTGAAGAGATAGTAGTATGACAACCATACCAGGTTCTTCTGCAACACCCCAGAAGCATTTTGTCATGATGACAACCTTCTCACGAGGAATGTCGTACTTTTTGAGGGCTTTGCCGACAATAGCCTCCGATGCTCCGTTCGAGTAGACATTGGCCGTATCCCAAGTATTGATGCCTAAGTCGTAGGCGGCTTTGAGGAGCGGGAGTGCCTGACCTTTAGTTAGCGCTATTTCGATATACCAGTCTCTAAATACTAACGTCATGTTCACTGATGGTCCAGGACATGGACTTTGGATCCCCAAAGCCCATACATCCAAAGATCGGCACGGAAATTCTCAAGCCGCTGTTTCCGAGCCGCCTATATTCACACTTGGAATTTTCCATGGACTCCTTCAATTGGACTGGAATATTCAGGGAGTAGTTTTATTGGGGTTTGTCGAATACTAAGTCCGAATACATGGTAGAAACCAGGTAATATACCGGAAACATCATGTGACATTGGGCACCAGGCATACCATACAAAAGCGCATATTACAGTTAGTCATCATGGTCCGCACAGATTGTTGGGATTTGTTCCCCAGGTTGCCCCACGTGATGACAGGGCTGTGCGTATCTCCGCTCGGGGATAAATCCGGAGAAATCGCTAATTGGTAGCTTTTATGTGGCGAACCTTTGATGGTCAGCAGCTTAATTTTATTGTAGCAATTGAGTTAGTTACTCCACGGACATACCGGTGATAGACTACGGCGCGATGGGTCTCGGACCATTTCATTGGCTGCCTGAACCCCACATGACTGAAATTGATCTGGTAAAGCTTGAAGGCGCCGACCGCGTTCTACAATCCATTAATTTAACCATCCACCACGCCACAGAACGCTCTAATTGGCCAGTCCAAAGGGCCGAATCCTTCTTTCTATACAAGCTTTGAAATATCAAGAAATTTTCTCTCTTCGAAAAGCTGCCCGCCGATTCGACGTTCCTGAGTCATCTCTACGGTCGCGTATGGAAGGTATTCCCGTTGGAGTTCAGAGGTATTTTGAAATATTGTTTGTTATTTCAGTGGGAATAACTGAGGCTATATATAAAATGAGAAGATCAAATTAAATCAACCTGATTCTGCGTATAGATACCTCGGAAAATTACGATGGTGCGGCTTCGTTCCTGACCTGCATCAGCCTGGTGATGGTAGGTCAGCGATGCTGCGAGAGTGAAGGTCAATATGAAGCCGCGACTACATCCTGGGGATTTGGGAACCAAAAAAGATGGATTGAGTGAAATATGTCTAGGTTCTATCTAATATGAAGATGAGGATGCGGCTGTTGACAGACAGCCGGCGGCGGACACCTAATTCTCCAAGCACCAAGAGAGGATGTCCTAGTTAATTAATTAGTTATTCCAGCATCCCTTAGCTAAACCTAGGGCCTACTACACTACGTGAAACTTGCGCAGAAGCTTTTCAGTCTCTGATTATTAAGACTAGCTCTGCAAAGCACAGTTTAGCACCGTAAGGGACGAAATTATTGCGTTCGGATATTGATATTGTACTTTGGACTCCACATCTGCTCATCGCCTTACTAGTAGCTGAGTTGGAGACCCCCTAGAATCTGTAGAATTATGTCTTTAAGCTTCTGTTATTCAGTCTTGCGCATTCGTATCCTGGGGTAACTTGTATCTTCTTTCGATTGATAAAGCTACTTGATAGCGGTAGTGGACTGAACTATGTAAAGTTTATGAGCCACAAACCCATGATGTACCGCTTCAGCCACAGTCTCAGTCAAAGTGAATGAAGACCTTGACTTCTTGTTGATGGTCGAATCGCCGATAGTAATCAGGGGACTCCTCGATGCCGATCTCTACTCCATTGAGGAAGCTGGGGCGAGCTTTGCCATCGGCAATCAAGCGGACGAGCTCAGGTGCATTATCCTTGGGATCCACTGGCCCAGCATGAATCTGTATGCCTTTGCCCCAGAGCTCCGTCATGGAGAGACTTGCATTAGGGGAGAGTGTGCTGCCGCGCTGCGCCATTTGTGAATTGGGACCGGCTTGGTACACACCAACAATACCAACTCCACCCTCCCTTCGAGTGATTTGCAAAGCCTGTTGGAGCACAATGTCGCTATCGACCTCGAGGTCTGCATTGAGCGACTCCATGCCAACAGCATCAATACTACGAATGACACCGTTGGGTTCATGCTGTAGGATCTGAGCGACCGGATCGGAAGTAACAAAATTAATAGGGATAGCACCGGCAGTGGCGGCGACATCAAGTCGTTGCTGAACGTGGTCAACTGCGTAAATGCGAGATGCGCCCCGAATAACTGCGGAGTGAATAGCGAGAAGTCCGACTGGCCCAGCACCAAAGACCGCAACTGTATCTCCGGGAACGAAGCCAGACCACGAAAGGGCAGACCAGCCAGTGGCAAAAATATCTGAAACAGTAACAAAGTCTTGCTCGATAGTGTGGTTTGTTGTGTTTCGTGTCAAGGGGATGGGAACGAGGTTCTTGTCGGCCCACGGAATGCGGGCATATTCGGCTACAATCGTAATCAGAGACACTTCGAGAACAATCAATAAGGAACGTCACAAACCTTGCAAGCCACCTATCCCACCGCCAGCACCGGGGTTGGCATCAGTTGGCGGCCCCATCTCAAGTCCACTATGAGAAATAGAATCTGGAATAACGACGTAATCGCCAACCTCAAAGCGAGTCACAGCCTCGCCAATCTCGGCGATATACCCAACACCCTCGTGGCCAACCGTGAAGGGCACCTCACCCCCACCTAGGACGCCGTGGTAGTAGTGTAGGTCTGAGCCGCAGATAGCAGCCGTAGTGATTTTGACAATCGCATCCGTTTGGTTTAGGATAGTTGGCACCGGGACGTCTTGAACCGTCATATTGTATGGGATGCCACTGAAGACGACAGCGCGCATGGTTTCGCCAAATACGCCGAAAGCGCTAACAGCCATATTGTCGATGACAGCTTTGTTGAGGTGAGAGGTACAATGTCGGATGGTTTGGAAGAGTACCAAATCCTGCTAAACAAAGCAGCTGCTGGTGATCCTCGCAAATCAGGCAAACGGCCGCCCCAAATTTATAGCAAGGCTCAAGTTAAACCTTGGGAAGTGGCAGTGACGTAACATTAGGAGTAAGTATCCCCTACCCGTTATATAACTTAACTCCGCTCTTGGCAGTTACTTGTCAAAGAGCTCCAGAATCCAATGATCCATTAGGAAAATCTGTCATTTTCTCACACCACACCCAAGGGTTTATTGGAGTCTGATTATACCCGCAGATCTGGTGTCGATTCGATGGGCACTGCTCATAGCGTCATTAGTCGTTCTACGTATAAGCAGATGACCTTAAACATCAATAAATGGAGTGTATCCGTGTCATCGTCATATAATTCAAACAGCACGCAGATTTATGTTACTGTCTTCCAGGGGAAGACACTTGCGATAGTTAATTCCCACGAATCGCAGGATGTTGTGGATCTTGTAATGGCTCACCTAGGAGATCCCAGTGGCTGTTCAGGCCGGAGACCAGATGTTCAAGGCCCACTTTCAAGTAAGCATATTAGTATCGTGGACATAACGGATCGGGATTATCACGCGTTATCTCCGACACCCTGGTTGCAAAGTAGCTGGCCGCTTTGGCACGGAGATGCGACTGTTCGCCCTAATGCAAACAGTCCACCACGGGTAGAGAAGCTTCCTGCAAGCTGCTGACAAGACACAAAATAAGAATCTTGTTTCGCCTCGGATTTAAGAGATACGAGTAGCCAACATTCGCACAAATACCTGAATCTTCCATGACGTATCAAATGGAAACCGAAGGTTTGAGGTTGTTGGTATATAATTGTTTCAGCGTCCGTAAAAATTCATCTTTGAACACCAACCATTTCTCGTTTAGATTTTGAGGACTACCCAGTGTTGAAATATGAGGCCATTTGCCGTATGGGCAATGCATCAATTTCCGAGATTCATGCAACCATCATCTGATTGAATTATAGTGGGTAATTGCCTATACCACTAACCTGGGAAAGAACCACTGTACCCTCTTCAAAAGTACTTTTACTAGTATAAATAGCTATAAAGTGACTTCCTTGAGGGACAGAGACTTTAAACAACCTCGTTCAATGCCTGGCATCTTTTGCAGATCTATCCCTTTTACATCGTAACTTCAACACCCAGGACAAGATGTGCATGAATATGTCAAGTCAACAAATTACCCTGGTTGTTGGCGGCTCCCGCGGCATTGGCGCCGAATTTGTTAGGCAGATTGCACAATCACACCCGTGGGACAAGGTCATCGCAACGGTCCGTAGCCCACGATCATTCGGCAATCCCAAAGTCGAAACTCTTCAACTAGATATCAACGCTACTGAGTCAATCAAAGCTGCCGCCACTCAAGTCGAACGAGTCGATACTCTCATCGTCAGTGCAGCCATCGGCAAGGACGAGTTAATCCTTATGACACCTGAAGAAGGCTTTCGTAACTACCTGGAAACGAAAATTTTGGGACCATTACGCGTGGTTAAGGCCTTCTTACCTGCCCTGCGCGCTGGTAAACTCAAGAGGATCATCCTACTGTCATCTTATTCAGGGTCTTTGACCAAACAAAAAGGTGCATGATGGGGTTAATGGGGTCCGTATGCCGTGACCAAGGCTGCGGTTAACATGTTGGCAGTTCAGCTTGACAATGAGTTGAATGACGATGGCTTCGCAGTTATTCCCATTCATCCAGGTTGGGTAGCCACGGACATGGATAATGCTTTTGGTGAGGGTGCTATACTAGTTGATGAGAGTGTGGCGGGGATGCTCAAGGCCATTGAATCACTCAGGCATGGCGACTCAACCAAATATTTACAGTATGACGGCCAAGAAGTTCCATGGTGAATTTCTACTGCAGTTGAGGGACTGGTCATGGAGAAAACAGAGTATTGGTACTGGACGAATCATATTTCCTAAAGTACGACTGATAGTAGAACTCTTCAACTCCCACGGGACTAAACTTGACCTAGTCCCAAGCCCCAGTGCACCCCACTACCATGGCAGTAGCTAGCATTTCCAGTCACTCCCATGGGAGTGGGGTAAGCTCCGATGGGGTATGCTCCGATGGGGATCCCCCAATTTCCCGCCAAGCCCAAGATTTCGCATAGATAACCAAAAAGGGATGGATAAAATCGCTGACAACTCATTCAAAATTACTGTTATTTAAATATGTTCTAGCTATTTGAAATGTTCACACTGCTCAATCTTAATCCCGTAGGAATTCATTTGGCACTACCTTGTACATACGTAGTTTCTCCCTACTAGAGATATGAACTTCGGCTTTTTGGTGTTATGCATAGTCAAGGCTTTTGAATAAAATTCGCGAATCGTGCTATGCGTTCCCTTGAATATGTATATATTGTTTAGTGGATGCTATTAATTATTGGGTTTCTTGATTTTAAAACCTTAGTTTTGACCAGTGCTTTGGTCAAACCGTCTAGAAACTCATGGTGGACGAAAACCTCGTAAGAAATCAGTTGGGGAAGGCAGCTGACCCCCAAATCCACAGGATGAGGGTTCACTATGGGACTAGTGGGGAATGTAGTGTGACCAGCGGGGATCGCAGCAGGAACTAATGGGCATTGTAGTGGAAGTAATGGGAGTTCCCCATGAGACTAAGGGGCTGCGTCCAATGAGCGACCTATCTTTGGAGCCTAGCTTTGTGATACGATGTATCTCATCCTTCGACAAGCAGGATAAAGAAGATGATACTTTAGAAGACGTGGCTCTCACCTCTGAAGAAAGTCAAGAGGCGGACAAGCGTCAAGAAGCTGATCTTCCTCAACAAATTCCTGATCCGATTAGTGATGAGGAAGAGGATGAACCACTATGCTTTTGGGATGAGCCTTCTGTTGAGTTACAGGTACGACCCTGAAATCATCGCCCACTTGGAAAGAGACGACAGTGTACTCCCGTACAGGGACAGAAGGTGGTGATGAGGCGGTGTTTGATGACGATGCACAGCACCCGCCTAGAAGTAGTACTGAGACACAGTATCTCACCGGGCCTTACATTTTTTACTAAAAAATACCAGACCCTCCAAAGGAGGGTCCGGCACCCAAACCAACATACTACCCAAACTAAAAATTTTCACCAATTTCAACTTACCATCTTCAACCAACAATATCTCTATCACCATGCCTAAAGACAACGCCAAAATTGAGATTCAAATTGCCAAGGAAATTGATAGTCTATCACATCAATCTAAGCCTAATATCTCTAAAACTGCGCGTGAATTCAACGTACCTTACAATCGGCTTCGGAATCGCTGGGCAGGTGGACAATCCCTATTTATGGAAGCAGTTTCGGCGGACGGTTTTGTCTGTCCACCACTTATCATTTTAAGTGGTAAATAGATGATGCTACGATGGTTTGAGGCTATTCAAACTCAAGAATACCTCGCTGTATCCGATTCTGGATATATGACCGATGTTTTAGCATTCCAATGGATTCAAAAATTCTATGAATGGACGTTTCGTCGAACTCAAGGTGTTAAGTGACTAGTTTTATGCGACCGATTCGGATCGCATTTTACACGACAATTCGGTGAATTTTGTGAGAAGAATAACATTATTCTTTTCTTTTTATTGCCGCATTCAAGCTACTTCCTACAGCCTCTCGATGTCGGTGTATTCAGTGCTTATAAACATTGGCATAATGAGGCTGTCGAATCTGCAACAATGACTGGATGTCAAAAATTCACTAAAGATGAATTCCTTCATGCGATTACCTCGATCCGGGAAAAAACCTTTCGTCTACGTACAATCAAACTCGGCTTTAGATTAACAGGTCTTTGGCCAATTAATTCTAAGTTAATTACTGAGGATTTGGTTGACTACGATCCTTGCCAACGACCACGGCCATCAACACCATCAACCAATAGCTCAGTCTATACAGACTTTAGCACCCCCAAAACCACTGAGAAAGTGCAAAAACTAAGCTTAGCGCTTAAAGAGAGTGAAGCCTATTCTGCCCGCTACAAAAATGCACTTATAAAGATCGCAAAAAGTGCTGAAATGCACACTGCTTTAGTGCATGCACTACAGTCCGAATTAGATGCGTCTTCAGCCATCATGGCTGCCCGCCACGCAAGAGATAATGTTACCCGGGCGAGGGCTCATACTACTGGCATTGTTAATGCTAGTGGAATGAGAAATATTAGATATAAAGCATTCAAATGGACTGAGGGTGAGGATATTTCCAAACGGAAGCGAAAATGGGCTAAGGTCAATACACACATCAGAAGGCATGGACGCATGCAAAAGAAATGGGGGCAGGTCATAGCTATTGAATTCATGTAATTTAATAGGTTTTGTATTTAATTCTTATTCAAAATGCACTAAATTCATTGATATATATGGTTGAAATGGGGGTTGAAATTAGATATGGTGAATTATTTTCAGTTTGGGTAGTATGTTGGTTTGGGTGTCGCTACTCTGGAATGGTCTGGTTGACCCCACTCTCTCGCAACACGTTGCGATTGGCTCAATCACCTGTAGATAATGGCTCGTTTAGGTGGCAATTCGCCGATCACGTACTAGGACCAAAGTTGTGAGTGTATCGCACACAAGACCGAGAGCAAGTTTGACTTCTCAGGTATGCATTCGTCCATCTGTTGGCTTCCCCGCACCTTGCACACTCTTTTCGGCCAGAGAGCTTGGGGATTCACTAGAGTTGGAGTTAGACTTTATCATAAGCAGCTCAATCGTCCATCCTCGATTAGCCAATAGATCATTTACCGTTATAATACTTGTCTCACGCCCGTGGACATTCCATGGCCGATTCTCGGATGTCAAGAGCGATTATATATGCTACTCAGGAACTCATCTACTGCGCAATATCTTTTTCCATCTTACCATTTCAGAATTACTCTGTACTCCGCTTGTACTCCGCTTCACACTGTACGTTCACCATAATGGAGCTGGCGAAAACGGCCGTACCAATGAACTCCTTCGATTCTCCCCTGGAAATGGGAAGACATAAGAGTCACGACGTAGGAGAGACACATGAACTCAAGGTAACTGCGACCAGGACAAGTTTCGTGGCTGTTAAACATTTCACCGACCGACTTGTCTCTAGAAAGGGTTTTCTCGGTTGACTATCTTGTCTATGACTGTGATTCTGATGGCAACATGGGAAGCATTGTCCAGGTACGGTTGGATACTTGAACGTACTCCTCTGGTACTGACGATTTCTACAAAGTACCATGGCCTCTGGACTGATTAGCGGCGGACCGGTCTCTCTAATATATGGATATATAGGTCAGTCTGAGGAAGCTGGGGATCACATCAACAATCACAACTAACAGGTTTAAAGTGGCTGTAATAGGATCTCTCTCAACTGCAGCATCTCTGGGAGAGCTGGCTTCAATGTTAGGGAATACCCAATTTTACTCGTGGGCGAAGGCTAAATGATACGCAGGTATCCGACTGCCGGGGGTCAATATCACTTCACAGCGCTGCTGGCTCCGAAGAGATGTCAGAAGTTTCTTAGCTGGGTTGTGGGATGGATAGGTGAGCTAAGAATCTCGCATAGGTTGAGGTATCTCACTGACAGTTCTGGGTATTTGCTAGGTACATTTGGCTGGATTTCTTTCGCAGCGAGTGCTCCTTTCCTCGCTGCCGGGATGATACAGGGGCTTTTGACCCTCAACCACGAGAATTATGAAGCCCAGCGCTGGCATGTATCACTCATATACTGGGGCCTAGTTATTTTCGGTACTGTTATCAACATCTGGGGAAGCCGTCTTCTTACGGTGATGGAAAAATCATCGCTGATCATCCACATTCTGGCGTTTATTGCAATATTTGCTGTCATGTGGGCTTGCTCGCCTACGAAGCACTCAGCCGACTTCGTTTTCACCCTCTTCGAGAACAATTCCGGTTGGCGCAGCGAAGGCATAGCATGGTCTCTAGGCATGCTATCGAGCAGCTACGTCCTGGCTGGTGAGCACTGCCCCAAGTGAAACATAGACCAAGGAAATAACGTCTGAATATCAGGTTACGACGGAGCGATCCATTTCGGCGAGGAAATGGCCAACCCTGAGGTTGCAGTACCCTACTGTATGCTGAGCTCGGTGGCAATCAACGGCTCAATGGGTTTGCCTTCTTGCTCGCCATTCTTTTCTGTATGGGCGACATGCAGACTGCTCTCCACAGCGCGACTGGCTATCCGATTATCGAGATCTTCCGCAGCATAACGGGGTCCAAAGAGGCCAGTAGTGCAATGGTCGCCATCCTCATTCTTGCAGCATGGCTGGCGACCATTGCTCTGTTAGCGTCTACAGCACGAATGGTGTGGTCGCTCACTCGTGACAAAGGTACGATATTTTCAAGGGAATGCAGTCAGGGCTGACGATATTCCAGCATTACCCGGTCATACATACCTTGTTGAACTTGATCGCAAAACGCAGCTACCTAAGCGGGCGATCCTAGCTACTGGCGTTATCCTAGTTCTCCTCGGCCTGATTAATATTGGGTCAACGACAGCGTTTAACGCGATTCTCTCTCTTGCAGTACTAGGACTGCATGTGTCGTATGTTGTTCCGATCGCATTAATGCTGCGGCTTCGACTGTTCTCTGTGATTCCGGTACATTACGGCCCCTGGAAACTCGGTCGCTCTGGTGTCGCAGTGAACCTGGCGTCGGTGTGCTACCTCCTCTACACGAGTATTTTCATGGTCTTCCCGCCGTATCAGCCGGTTACTGCGCTGAATATGAATTATTCATCGCTGATTTTTGGTGTGGTGATAATATTCAGTGGGATTTATTGGGTCTGGAGGGGGAGGAAGCAGTATGACGGTCCAAACGTCTATATTCTGCAGGGTAGTTAAAAGTTGTACGATACAACTTGTGTCGAATACTAAGTCCGAATACATGGTAGAAACCAGGTATTAAACCGGAAACATCATGTGACATAGGGTACTAGGCATACCATACAAAAGTGCATATTACAGTTAGTCATCATTGTCTGCACAGATTGTTGAAATAGCGGGTTTTGTCATTTTAGTTAGTTAAGAGTCATTAACATTGGTCATCTATACCATACAGTGTTCGTACACCAGCTTTCTGTTCAACTTGTACCTACTGTGTGCCGTAGAAGCTAGAAGCGTGTGTGAGCCATCTCATTGGCCACTGAAGGTCCTTATCATGCTCTACTACGACTCGAGTCCTCTTATCTTATTGCTCCCCGAAAATGTGAATAAGCTACTATTCTGGAAGAGTCCGGAAATATGACTTAGTCAAATTGCCATTAAAGGCAACCAAGTTCAAGGTTCTCAAGGTTGTCGTCTGTGGAAGCGTGGGTGCGGAATTTACGATCGTTCCTCCGCCCGCATTAAAATACTGAGTAGTGTGGAGAAAGCTGCTTCTCCGCACTTCTTAGACCCTCAAACCTCTCGTGCCGAAAATATCGGAGCGATCAAGTCATCTCCATGCCCAACCAAGGACAACCGCCGCGAAGCAGGTTGAAGACGCGCAGTGAGTTTTTTTATCCAACAGCAAATTAAATACCACTGACCTCGGTAGCCGGCTGCCTGCGCTGCAAACAGAGGGTATGCTGTTTTCACTATATCACATCGCATTACTAGGCTGACCAAGTTCATACAGCGAATCAAATGTGACGAGACTTATCCACATTGCAATCAGTGTACCCGCCGAGCACATGAATGTCCTGGCTACAAGCGTCCCTTGAAGTGGTCCACGAAAAATGAAGTAGAGCATCAGACGTGTCAGGGAAATTTCGAGAGAGCGCCAGCCGTGAGCACCGTCAAGGTATCCGAACCCACAATCGCGCAACTTGTGATTACGCCGAGCGAGCCTGCGCCGACTATCTCCGATACTCGAGATGCGAGGTCGCTGTATATGGCGACCCAAGCTGCCGACTTTCGGGCCTTTGAAGATCCTGGAGCGAGTCACACAGATTATGGCGGCAAGCCAAGGTATCAAAGTCTCGCGGACGACAGTAATGAAAGTAATGAATCCCTTGACTTGCTGTCGTCAGTTGAGACACTGAAACCCAGATTGGAAAGTACTACAGGGCAGCTGATGGATTGGCCTGACTTATATCTGCCTCTAACGCTGTCACTTGAAGACGAAGATACGGAAATAACGAAACACTACTTTTCGAGCGTGTGTCGGATTCAGTCCTGCATCGATTCTAGCAACAATTTCTTCCGTGAAGAAATCGGGAGTATGATGGCCTCTAGTCCGCTTATCTACCATTGTGTTCTCTCTATGTCAGCCGCACATGTTGCCAACATACGAGGCAACTTGCGAACCACCGCGCTGGACCACAGGACCAAAGCGATAACTTGCTTGAAGGTGGGAATAATGAAGATGAAAAAAGAGAAAGATCTTCGAAGTTGCTCCTCAGTTGATCACTCAACAGAAGCACTACTCGGGAGTATTCTTCTAGGAATGACTGATGTAGGTAGTTATAGGGTGGCAGCGTCTTCGTAAAGAGCTGACACTTTTTTCTAGGGTTGGCACAATCCATCATTTCTCGGGTCTATCCATTTACATGGCGCGAGAGTCTTGTTCAAAAGGTGGATATCAGGAATCGATAACGGCACGGGCACATCACTTGCTGTCGCATTCCCCTCTCGCATAGGAAGTGCTATAGTGGGAATCATGGCCTATTGGGAGGCAATGTCATCCTTTCTCACAAACCAATCTCTGGACGCAATTTCCTACTTCGAGAATGTTTGCAACCAGGGCCCGACAACGATAATTCAGCCTACGCCGTGGACGGGCATCGGCACGGCATTATTTGTATACTTGGCCAAGGTAGGCACTTTGGCCAGGCAAAGGACATTGGTCAAAAATCTTTCTCTCGTGGGAAAATCCGAAGAGATCCAAAATCAGCTCGAGGCTGACCTTGTGGAATCGGCTCGGGATACTGAGGCTGCGCTTTTAGCATTCCAAGCGCCAAGCAAGGACCGTGTAGAAGATACCGGTGACCCGTCGACTCCCATCAGGCACTTACAACAACTAGCCCACGTATACAGACTCTCTGCCTTACTTGAACTCTACAGAAACTTCCCAGTGCTCCTTAACAGCCAGGTGGGAGCGTTATCGGCAGAACCTGCTCCGGCGCACAAATTACTAGCGCTCACTACTGCGGTACTGACAACAATCGCCACAATTCCGCAAACATCAGGTGTCAACAGTCTACTTACCCTTCCGCTCCTTATCGCCGGCAGCACACTACAATCAACAATACAGTCAACACCTAGGAAATGCCGAGAGGGATCATGGGCCATTCTTTCAGATGATATTATTTCCCTATCTAGTCAGGATGATGTTCAGCAATACTGGCGTAATTTCGTCAGAGGTCGATTACAGGCAATCAGGGATTATGTTGGTATAGCGACAGTTTCCTGGGCAATCGAAATCGTTGAGAAGGTGTGGACCCGATGTGATACGCAGGTTTTGTCGCTGCCTACGGAGTTTGTTCAGTGGATTGATGTTATGGTGGATGAGAAACTGGAAGCGATTTTCGGGTGATGATGTATGTAATCAAAAGATCCAAAAATATCATGCGAAAAGTTCAAACCTGCATATCTGCGTAGCTAATCGCCATCCACTGTGATCTGTACCGTCCCCTGTGGCGTCATCGTTCGTCCCGATTCGGCAAAACGGTGCGGGAGGCGGACGGAAGGATGCGATTGGCCGAAATCAAATAGGATCTTGGAGGCTCAGCATCACTCACTCATTTAAGTAACAAAGTAACTTCAAGAGCTTTACCAATACTGGCCACTACATACAATTTTCGGAAGATATGCCATTCCAAATCAAAGACAACACCGAGCGCTTCAAGATCCCCAACTATGGCGGAATCCAGAATGTATACTTCGGTCGGTATTTGACGTCTTATCTCGTCTGAGGCTTTGAACATACTTACTTCTGATTAGCGTATCTACTAGGAACAAAAGACACCGATGTCTCCCATCCTATTGTTGGGGCATGGTTCCGTATGGAGAAGGGTGAAGAGGCCTCGCCCCCGAAATATGAATATGATGAGATTGGCGTTGTTATTGAGGGTACTCACTATACGGTTAGGATATCAATTGTCTGAAGCTAACATGTTATGACAGGGGAGATAAACCTCCGAGACGAGACTGGGGAGACAGCGACAGTTCGAGCGGGGGATGTATTCTTTTTCCCACGGGGAAGCACAATTACCTTTTCGTCTGATAGTTATGGGCTGGCTCTAAAGTGTGCAGGGCGGTATCTTGCGAAGCTGTGATTGTATTGATGTCAGTCTCTAAAGTCTGTCAATAGTTGCAAGTCCTTGAGCATAGGATCGAAAATTGACTACATTGATATACAAGCCAAAATTCATGAACGGGATACCCAGCTGCAGTAAAAATGCTCTTAACACTAGAGACCGTGCGAGATGGCTAGATAGCGGTTAGATATTATTAATTAAGTGTCTGTGACGGAATCTACTAAATACCACTGGGTCTCTAGGATAGGCTTGTCAATACTTGCTTGATTCTCCCTAGTATTTGTATGATATTCGGGCTACTATGGACTCGGAGGTAAGGTGTCGTAACACGCAAGCGCTCAGATTATGAAGGCCCTCGAGGTCGCTCAACCGATCGGAATACCTTCAATCAATCAACTGATTCTATTGGACATGTTCAGTACTAGCCAGTACATTAATTCCTCATCCTGTCAGTGTGAGTTCGAACACATCATCAAACTCCGAGTTCTCCAAGTCTCTCCCACATGTGGAGCTGTCCCAACTAGGAAAAAAAGTGCGCGGATTTGCAAATCCCCGCTTACATCGCAGATCACTCGATCGTCTACCAATCGCAAAGACTGAGAAAAGAGCGCAGAGGATTCAGATTACTTCGTACTTGATGGAGTGTGGGAAATCTATCATCTGTGACCGATAGGCGTATATTAGTACACCACGCAACAACCACGTCGGCTCGATGAATGAAGTGAGACAACTACTCAGCCAGCATGTCTCGCTCAAAAGAGGGTTACTTGTGGACACTAGAACAAGTCACGGAGGGTCTACTCACCGCCGCTGTTCAACAAAGCTCCCCGGCCATCAAAGACCGCTACGATGTAATTGTTATAGGCGCTGGTTTTGCCGGTCTCGTTGCCGCCCGAGACTTGAGCCAGAAACACGGACTCGATGTCCTTCTCCTTGAAGCGCGCGATCGGATAGGCGGCCGTACATGGACGGCCAGGGTCCTCGGCGAGGACATCGAGATGGGAGGTACATGGGTCCATTGGGCTCAGCCTCACCTATACGCCGAACTGCACCGATATGGCCTACATCGAAATTTGAAGACATCAGCCGGAACCATTGCGCCTGAAAAGCAAGAATTCAAAACTGCCTCGGGAGACACAGAAGATGTATCGAGTGCAGAAAGTGGTGCTGCGCTGGAACGAGTAGCACAGAGATTCTTCACTGTAGACGGACTGGATAGTAGGTCTCTCATGCCGTATCCACATGATTCGTTGCGGGAGCCTGCACTCTGGAGGAAATACGACCACCTTAGTGTGCACGATCGGTTGGATCAGCTCCATGATATCCCACCACGGGCGAAGGACCTGTTCGAATCGAATATCAACACGTTTGGCAGCGCGTCAGGGAAGGACATTGGGTTCGTGGAAGCGTTGAGATGGTTCGCATTAGGCGGTCATTCTATTGCTGGCATCTTCGAGATGGCTGGGATTTACAAGATTGGAAAAGGAGGCATGACTTCCTTGGCCGGTGCTATTCTGGACGAATATACCGGCGACCAGCTCCTTAACACAGTTGTTGCCGAGATTCATCATGTGGCAAGCGGTGTTGAGCTCTCGACCACAGACTTCCGGACCTTGCGGGCAAAAGCTATCATTTCAACGATTCCACTGTAAGGCGTCAATTCATTTCACCTCACTGACCCAGGCTATATTGACTGACCGCTGTTCTAGTAACTGTCTCGGCGACATTAGATTCAACCCTCTTCTCTCCCCACTCCGTCAGGAAGCAATTGCACATGGGCACATCAATCGGGGCGCCAAAATTCATTACAAACTCCGCGAGACTCTTCCCGGTTGGTTCTGGACGGGTGATTCCAAGAGCGACTCAAACTTTGTCTTCGCTTTCTCAGACCACAATGGAACGCAGCCGTCGGGACCGTCAGGCACTTGGTGCATCGGCTTCGGATATAACGGAAAGCTGACCGACAAGAAGGATTCCGCACGTATACTTCAGCAATTTAAGAAGGACATCAATCCGAACGTCAACGTGGAGGCTTATGCTACACATGACTGGATGAATGATCTCTATGCTAAGGGCGTTTGGGCATGCTGGGGACCTAATGCTACATCGAAGTATCTAGCGGAACTACAACAGCCTCATGGGCGGGTTATCTTTGCGAATGCGGATTGGGCTGACGGATGGAGGGGGTTCGTTGACGGTGCTATTGAGCGAGGACAGGTTGCTGTGCGAGATACGTTGAGTCTGTTGAAGGGGCATCGGACGAGTATGGCGAAGTTGTAGAGCGGTTCTCCACTATCAAGTATCATTTATATAGCTTTCATACTTTTCATGGCTACTGGTTTTGTACTTTACTGTACCATCTTTCGTAGGATCTATATTACATAGCGTCGGTCAGCTAGACAACCAGTACAATTATCTAAAATCATCTCCCTAGTCAAAGATCAACAGTAGGGCCATCGCACAGACAATCGTGATTGCTCCACGTCAACCAGGCCCCTCCATGCACAGTGTAATCCAATTTTCAGCCCCTTTGGTGGAGTAGTTTAAGGCGCCAGCCTTACTACTAGTTATAGTTTAGAAATAAACCGCCTTAGCAAGCAAGTTGCCCGCATCTACACTAACACCTATACCCGCACCATCTGATCAGTCCGTATAACTCTGTGTACGAAGTAGCTGACCAATAGCACTTGTCCGAAATTTTCCGGCGGAACGATCGTGTAAGGGCACAGTCAAGCTCACGGTTGAGCATACTGTCGAATACTAAGTCTGAATACATGGTAGAAACCAGGTATTAAACCGGAAACATCATGTGACATTGGGTACTAGACATACCATACAAAAGTGTATATTAAAGTTAGTCATCGCAGATTGTTGAAAAAGCGGGTTTTGTCAATTTAGTTAGAGTCTTCAACATTGGTCATCTATACCATACATTGTTCGCACACCAGCTTTCTGTCATATATGTATTTCAACTTAATATATTTGAGTGGGATGGCCACTCGGTTGAGGTGACCGCTCGCTTGTTAAATACATTACGGTTATATAAATCTACCCAAAACCCAACCCATTTACGGGTTAGGTTTATTCGGGCTTACGGATCTATAGGGTTTGGCGCAGTCTAGATATAACCCCGTCACAATTTGACTATATTGTTCTAGTCTATACACTTTCCCTCCAACCTAACACGGGCTTTCAAGAATAAGAGAATTCGACATTGCAAAGACACATGTTCCTTGATTTTGCTTATTTCGAAAGGCGATTGGATACACGCTTCAGGCGAAATACTGTCCGGTGGATATGATCTAGACGTGGAAAAGCGCAAAAGCAGCACTGAGTAGAGCCACCGCTCCCTTCGGGGCATTAAACTGAGACGACGCAGCACCAGTCGACTGCAGAGGGGACGCGGAGGCACTGGTGGATGAAGCGTCGGCAGAGGTGAAAGACGTTGTCGTGGAAGAAGAGGTAGAGGAGGACGTGGTGGTGGAGCCTGCGATGAAAAAGGGTGTATTAGTATGATGGCTTTATAACATTGTGCGGAGTTGCATCATGCCTGAGGAAGACAAAGGACTAGTCGACGACGTGGGTGTTGAAGATGCCGAGGACGTAAGGGTGGAGGTGACTGATGCAGAAGTGGTCTCACTAGATGTCGCGGACAAAGAAGTGGAGGATGTGCTGGTGGTGGAAGAAGATGAGGATGTGGTACCATCATCCGAAGCGCCCTTCTTGACAGTAAAAATGTCACTGACGGCGAGCTGACCCCCAGAATCAATTATCTGGATCTCGTAGTCATCTCTAAGGCATCGCATAATGGTATTAGTGTTATTATTTTCTGTTCACCCACTCTATCTTCTACGTACCCGTTGGAAATGCTAGGGTTTGGCTGAGTCTTGTATTCGCCGGCAGAGGTCTTGACGTTATCCGCCAATTTGGTCTGGAAGGACCCATCCTGACTTCGAAGGATGATACTGATTACTGAAGGATCACTGGAATCGCTAGTGAATTTGATAGTTTTGGCAGTTGAGAAATCCCACACCGTGTCCGATGACGGGGTGGTGACGGTGATGGCCAAAGCCGATGAAAGGAGGCTTAGAACGGTGATGGTGAATGAGTAATGCATTTTGATTGAATGGAATTATTGAATCACCGGAGAGGGAGCTGAGGGAGATGCTCTCATGTCTCCCAGGAAAAGACTATATATTCTTGGTCGATAGACCGGGAACTAGGTTGTCGAAAGATCTACGTAAGTGTGTACATAAATCAGTAACTTTCAGCTAAAGGCGAGCGCATTGAGAATACGAGATAGTCTAAGCCTTGCATAGAAGCAGAATGTGATCTCCAACATGAGCTGAGCCTCTTGTAGAGAGACTGGAAAAAACCCAGTGGTGATTCTAATGCCCACGTAGGGTAACAACAAACGGGCACTGCCCAGGTGTTAGGATCAGCTCTACATCAGCGACCCGCCCTGTTGTGTTGGGTTCACCAAAGTGAGTATTGCACCTTATCTTTCCAATCAAGTGTCTAAAACAGGTTGTGTGCTGTAGTCCTTGCTAATGAAGGGTTAAACCACCAAGTAAGGGCTACTATCATGTCAGCGCTAGGTACGCATTGTGACCTAGCGCTGATTCACAATAGAATATTAAACTTTCAACTACGGGCTGCTATCATGTCAGCACTAGGTTAGCGTTGAGAAGCGCAGTTAATACCGAATTTACCGAGGGCTCGGGAATCGAGGTTATCATAATTTTTTTTTGTATTGTATTGTTACTTACAACTGGGAAATAATACCGGTTATGACTGGTAATATTCAACACATATGCTACATGTAGGTCTGCGTCTTATTATGCCCAATAGGCAAAGGCGACAGCCGGAATTCTTGCCCAAGTACGTAGTCTCTAGTTACTCAATGTACCTCCTATTTTGTGTGGTAATTCACCAGATATAATATGAAAGCAATAGCATTAAATGTACGTAGTATTTCGTCTATAGTAAAACCTCCGCAGAAATCATCCAAAAAGACATCGAGAAACAAAAGCAAAAACCATCACGAAGTACAGGAGACATGATCGAAACAAAGTGAATGGCGGTCTAGAGAATTAGATGAAAATGTAGGACGTGGTCAATGCAGCTGTGAGTATCAATGTCCTGATCCCCCACGACAAACCGAATAATGAAATACCAGCGCCGGTGGAAGTCTTCGGACTTGCCGAGGAGGCTGTGGATGTTTGGGTGTGATTTGGACAAATAGTGGTGCTTCGGTTCAAGCTTTCAGTAGGATAGAACACCCGAGGCCCTCCATCCGAGCTGAGGTCGACACTGAGATTCCCGCTTGAATCAGTCACGAATGTTTTGCAAGACAAGAGCTCCGTAACATTTTGGCCGGATGAAAATCCTGTGCCGTCAGGGCCAAGCGTGATCTTGGTGGTGGCTTTGGAGGCTGGCTTGGCTCCCAGGTTGGTGACGACGCTCACAACCTGGTTACCTATAAATCCCTTACGGATGGCCAAAATATTTGTTGAGTTGTAGATTGGCAATGAGAGGTATGATAGATAGTCGCTACCTGATTTCGGGGCGAGTGTGGACTTTTCTCCTTCGCCGCTTGCATATGATCGAATGCGATTCAATGATTGGACTAGCAATGGTAGGGACGTGGAGTTCATCGAGTATTTAGTAAGCCACAGGGCCTCCCGATTGACAGGGTTGAATGCACCTGACAAGTGTTGTTCTTCCCCGTAGTAGACTGTATTACTTTTATTAATATCTTTGGCTTTCGTTTTGATCTGTGGGGGCGCAGCATACGGATGGGGATACCGTCAGCGAGCATGCTAATCGTGAGAATGTTTCGAGCCAGCTAATCAGGAGTGACAAGTCAATGCGTGCTGACAAAATCCTGGATGCACTCGACTTACCGATATGTCTGACGTATACGAGCCAAAGCGAGGAACGTCCTGATTCGATGTGAAAGTTCCGAGGGGTAGTACATCTTCACAATGTGTCCTGACGTAGTCGATAGACTGTATGATTCTGTTCAAGTCTCCGTTGGTTGTGTTAAAGGCCTCTGAGAGGATATAATACCTAAAAGGTGTCAACACATCCTCTGTTCATTCGATGAGCTACTCACAACGGATAATTCAAAAGTCCACTTAGACTGGGCTGCAGAGAACAGTAACCTGATGCGTCTCTTGTGGCGCCTTCGCCCATGGTGAAAACACCCGCTGACTTGCTGAAATTGGAGAAGAAGTCGGGAGGGATATTCAAGACACTGTCAATTCGCAAGCCATCAACTACCAAGGATAATGGTTAATAATTTCATTGGATAGATAGGGAATGTATAGACACACTGGAGTAGTTCGAAACCAACTGCGAAACCCAGGTTCCCAGAATCTGCTGGACTTCCTGATCCTCGTTTCGCAGATCAGGAAGCGATATGATGTTGTCTCCCATCCAGCACTGATGAAGGTTAAGCTATACTCTCATAACACGCGGTGGCAAACTTACATCCAGCACACAAGTGTCATTTATGGGGTCCTCAGAAAGTAGCTTGTAGTCGTGAAAATACTTCTGATCGTTGAATGGATTGAACGTACTGTAGTCGACAGTAGAGGCATTTCCAGCCCAGGCCATGTCACCGACGACAATGTCTAGCATCAAGTACTAGTTTTCAAGTCAGTTTCGTGAGTAGACATGGCAGCCGGCGACTCACCATGTCACGGGCGTGCAATGCTGCGGATAACGCTTGGAGGTCATCGGAAGTGCCAAAATGGGAGTTGATGGAATACAGGTCGTTTGGCCAATACCCATGGTATGCTATCGTCCATCAATCGTTAGTTCTCTATATCCGTTGACAGTCGAGATGACTATACCTGCGAGATCCACCGTGCGAGTAGACTCCTGGCTTTGCACTGGAGAGATCCAAACTGCATCGAACCCGAGGCCCTGAATATAATCCAGCTTATTGATGATGCCCTGAAAACTCCCTCCACAATAATCTCCCACTCCTGCATCACAAGAAGCGGTGGTTGAGTTATCGGATCGAGCGAAACGATCGGTGACCACTTGGTAGACCGACCGACCGAGCCATTGGTCTCGGGAAGCCGCCTGTACTGTCCCAATGGCAGCAACCACCAAAACATTCCACCACCACATTTTCGGTGGCGTTTGCATGACAGGTGGAAGGAGAATAAAATGACGATGGAATCAGAGACAATGAAAAGGTTACTTAAATTAACATTTGAATTGACAACACTTGAATGTCATATAGATGAAAATGACGTACAGTAAGGTACTTGTGTTTCGTACTGTATGTGTAATACATTTATATATATACATATGTATTAATGATCTGTTCCTGTTCCGGTCACGTAATCTGTCGGCCCGATCGGCAGGCTTCGCACATCCAACTCATCCCAACCGAGGGCACAGACCTCGGGATGACTTCCGACACGGTAGGCCCGGGTGGGTTCGCAAGTGACTCGTCTTGGGGCTACAATAGCCTGCTTGGATCTGATAGTTGACGATCATTGTTTATGTTTCTTTGATGTGTTGACGGCTCAGTAGAAGAGCCGCATTGACTGCAATCTAGCCCGATTTCATGTTGCGTGATATTAGATATTATGGCAGAAATCCTTGGGTTATTTCCCATTCCCCTGTAATCCGTACTCTGTGGTTTCCTTATCGTTCCGCGAGATTTATCGATCGGGTCCACATGGGGGATCTCAACCTGATAGCTGGGATTTGTTCCTTTTGGGTCTGGAAACCATCAGTGGGGTCAGGTAAGGAGAAGTGCGGCCTCGACCATTTGAAGTTTTTGGCCCTTAATTATCGGTAGGTTCAGCCAAGCCAAGTCAACCACAAGATGCATAAATTGCCGACTATCAATTTCGCCATACAGCACAGCGGAGTGACCGTGAACAAAAAGATAATAAAAAAATTTAGAAAAACATTTAAAATTTCTGAAACAGGAACAAGACGCAACGACGAGCCATACCCTTATCATATATCATATCCACCTATTACCCTTTCTCATAGGTCGGTCCTGTATCAGGTATGACGTGTTCTATCTTATATTAGGCGGGATACCCGGTCTAGAATGATTTAAACTTTCTGATCAATGATTTACTTCGGGCAGCACTAGTCTTGAAAACTCGTATACGGAGTAGCTTTGCAGCAAATACGTATGAATCGTTCCCCACCATATAAGCTATCGAACAAAGACCCACTTCGTATATTCGGTCAGCCGTGTACGGAGTATACCACATCACCTCGAAGGTGCTACACCGATGCATGTCAGATCGTCGCTATGTCTATGAGACATAATCTGTCCGGCTTGGGCCTGGAACCTGATATATGCCAAGGCCTACCAAATATGGCCTATGTCAGCTTGAGATCCATCATCCATAATTAAGACTGCTCAATCGCGTAGCGTAAATATGGATATGCTTTGCTGTGAGTTGAGGCTGTACAGCAAGGCTGGCTCGGATCTCCAGCCGTTCGCTTTATTCCTGCGTCTATGCAAATTTACAAAACAGTGATTGGTTTCTCGTGCTCGGAATCAATTATTGCATTGGCCTGGCTGGCTCCGAAGTATTCATTATTATCTTTCACATGATTGTCCTGCGTATCTGTACCCTATGAATCGTTCAGTGTCTCTGCTTTCATGAGTTATACCTTTCTCCCTGGTATGCACCTTGTGGTTGTTCTTTTGCAGTTGAGGCTCGAACGGCGAATGTAACCATAGTGGCATTCATTGTCCGGAATGGAGTTGCTCACTTCCATCACTCATTACTTTGTAATTGTTGCAATATTCATACGCATTGCACAATCCCTACCATATCTTCCAGAGGAAGCGGATTGGAATCTCAATCAAAACCAGACAGCAACACACCCCCTCGACTACTCGGGTCGGTGGGATGGCCACACGTACAACCCCTCGCCAGAGAACTGGCGATTCCCCTTTTACACGATATTCCTCGACAAATTTGTGAATGGCGATCCGAGTAACGATAATGCAAACGGCACACAATGGGAACACATCTTGACCTCCAACGAGTTCCGCCATGGAGGCGATGTTCTTGGGTTGGTTGACACCTTTGATTATCTTCAAGGGATGGGGATCAAGGT